ATAGAGTGCAAGTCACATAAGCATGAAACAATTCTTAACTATGTAGTGCTAAATAAGAATTAGTTATCAACTAACTAAGAATTGAGAACAATGCTACAAAGAAATTTAAATAATCAGTGGCATTGTGTTTATGCTTTGTTGAATTCTTAGTTAGTTGATAACTAAATCTTATTTAGCAATACATATTAAGAATTGTTTCATGCTTATGTGACGTGCACTCTACCATTATCAGATATTATAGCTGATACTATGATCCTAGCAGTCAATCAACAAACATTACTAAACTATAGTTTGTAAACTGATGAATGTCCATGTTCAGACTTAAACGTCTAGTACAAAAACAGTTTTAATTTATTTCTGGATCCTGGATGCAACTTTCACATTTTACAAACATACCATAGTACATTACTTCATGTGCATATGATGTGGGATGCCAAAATATAATGTGCTATGTATTTCTGAATGGTCAATGGTTAATTTTAAGATGCCATTGCATTGACATTACTGTATATGAATTTTTTTGTAGGTTTCTGTGTTGTGCTACTTTGATGTGCTAACAAGTCTAAACGGTGTGGAAAATGTTCTCTCAAGTCAAGTATGAAACACGGTCGGTAATTATTCACAATACAGCTTTTTATATTAGTAAAAGTCTTGTTGTAGCATTACATTTAATCATGTATCAGAACACATGCCCTAAACATGATATTTGATGGTATAGGATATATACTCGAGACCTTTACATGACCATTCCTTTCATATTTTTTTTATCAGATTGAAATATTAAGGACCTTCATGTATTAGGGAAAGTACATTTAATGTATTTAAAATATTTCTCATACTCATTAATTATTTGCGAGGTATCAAGCCAATCCCTGATTGTAATTTGTACTAAGTATGCAGTAACTGGAAAACCAGATACTCCTACCTTGTTTCCAGTTACTTCTACCTTTTTCTAACTACTACTAGCTAATAATAATAAAAGCATTGGATAGAATTTATTTAGTAGTGAAAAATGACATGACTGCCTCACGAATCGATCCCCAACTGGCCAGTATATATGTACCGTCTTATAGTACAGAGTTTCTGATGTGATTCCTTGGAAGATGACATTCTTATAAATCTTATGAATTAGGCACATTAAAATTGCCTTGAATAAAGAAAGAGAAAGACAAAGACAATTTGTCATGAGTAGCTTTTGTTTCAGAACCATTCGGGAATTTGACTAGAAATCCCATGCAGTCCTCATAGTCGGACCTAACACTACATGAATTTTGATATCTTAATAATACCTTAAAAACTCATACATAATTAATGAKCAACTAGGCCAATAGAATGAGCATATTTGGTCACATGCATGGACCTTTATATTTAGTATTCTTTATATAAAGAATACTAATAAGGGTGACCTTTATCAGATATAAAGGTCCATGACCCTAGCAAAGGTCTCAGGTTTGAAACCTGATCATTGACCAATGCAGGATGTCAACCGATTTCAGTGAACAGCCAAGAGCRGTTCTATTTTACTTCAAGCGTATTCAATGTGGGATGACAAGGGTGCTTTGTAAAGTGATTTGCGCATGRTCAGTTTGCCCCATTTATCTCTGAACATATTTGTACGGCAATTTCTCCAAGAATTTTAACGGATTTTAGTTTCAAATCAGTGTTGGAGTTTTTTAAGCCGTCTAAAACACTCTCTCGTGTTTTAAACTATGCATAATGAATCATCCAAGGTAAAATGATTGTAATGTGACTTAGGCAGAATTGACAGAAGTAGTCAGCTTTAAAAACTGCCAAAAAATATAGAACTTTTTAATTATTGCATTGCATTAGTGTTTGTAGTGTTGCGTCGTTAGCTGTCTCCTTCTTAATTGCATCTAGTCTTGTATCTGTAACAAAGAGCGAGTCTTCTGCATTGTCATCTGCATACTCTGAGTACAGTGTCTGTTCTTCATTTAACTGAAAAATCTGATAGTGAGGTGTTTCTTTGTCAATGGACTTGTTTGGCAATGATGCTCTTGATAGTGTGTAACTGATAAACATCTGTGGTCCAGGCTTGTATTCTAAACCAAGTGAGTACTTCTGTGATGTAAGTCTCATTCTCTGTAATCTCTTTGGGCTTGTAAGAATTGGCTTCTTAAAGATTGTTACCAGTGGTTTGTGGTCAGTGTAGACTTTGACATTGTCTTTACCCAGTATGTAAYGTTCAAATCTTCGTGTTGCAAAAACAATTGCAAGACACTCCTTTTCTATCTGGGAGTAATTTACATTTGGTCTGTGTCAGTGTTCTTGACGCATATTCAATGGGCTTTCCATCCTGAGTGATCACGGCTCCAAGTCCAACATCTGAACTGTCACGTTCTATTACTACATCTTTCTTGACATCGTAGTATTGCAGTATTGGTGTTTCAGTCATCATTGTCTTGATCTTTGTGAATGCTGCTTGGTGCTGTGGTAGCCAGTCGAAGGCTGCATGTTTGTCTGTAAGACGCCGTAATGGTTCCGCAACTGTACTGAGTTGTGGTAGGAACTTGGCTAGGTAGGTTACGACTCCCACACTCTAGTCCAAATTAAGAAATAATTGGTTGAGGAAAAGTCTTTGATTGGCAGTATTTGATACAGTATCAGCATTTGATGCTTTAAATAAAAAAAAGCTCACTAGAGTGCAGACAGAGGAAAGATGTTGACAGGTTGAGAATATTACTAATAAAAATATATGTTAAATATTTAATTACACAAGTTTAATCACATATTTTATTCAAATCTTCTAAACTGATAAAAGTAATATTGTGCATGATGGACATTTTCTCTGATAATAAGCTTGTTCGTCTTTTTGACAGGTCTTGTTTTTAATCCTACAGGGTACATGCTATATCCTTCTCACCAGTATGTGATACTGGTGGGGGGCTGGATTAGACGCCGGCCACTCGTCCATGAGGGAGGTAGTACTGGGTTACATGTTACTAAGTTTAAATTATTAACAAACAGTTTCCACATTTTATATGATCTGAAAGAGGCTACTTGAATGAAAATTGTCAAACATCAAAAATGACATGAAAATTTAGTAGATAAACTTGGATATTGAGCCACACTTTAAGTAATCATGAAACAATGTATTTTTTGGTGTAAATAATCGACATGAAGCATTGCATTTTGTTAGTGTAAATTTTACAAATTCTTGCAAAGAAATTGATTGAAGTAAATAACATCATTTACTCCATAATTTTGTTCTCTCATTGTTTGAGCCAAACTCTATCTTCTTTGAATCAAATAAGTAAAGTTATACTATCGATTTCAGAGACTTAAAACTCAACAAGAGGGAAGCGCTATTGTCCAAGCAAGTGTTCCACAAAGTATTCAACAAMATTGGCAGCAATCTTTTTTTTAAACTTGCAAAAAGACCATGCAAACAAGAAAGTCATAAATGAGAACACTAGTTTCAAGATGTTAACACTATTCTCGATAACATGAACAGTGAGTCGTTGATTTTTTGGATGGGCGGTCAAATTTATACAAGAAGTTACAAAAGAAAAATGGTGATGCTTATCCAACAAAGACCAGAATTTACTCTATTGTACGTGGAATAAATTGTTATCTTGAGGAAACGAAACATAGCTACAACATTGATTTTTCAGTGTGTTTTATTTGTGTTTGATTGCATGCAAGTTTAGATTGTATTTTGAATATTTTCAGGAGAGTGTGGGCTCAGTTTTCCTGATACAGCCCTGATTAATAAAAHGTTAGGTTTGTATCATTGATAAAGACCTAATGTTTTGTTAATCGGCCCTGTTATCAGGAATAAACGTTAAGTAATTAGCAGCTCTGCACTCCTTCTGAAAACATTCAAAGCCGCCCCCAACTCTCACTTTCACCCAGTATAAAGATATAATAATGCGATTATTCTCAGTATATTATTTGCTAATGATATATCATGAATTATTAATGAATTTGATAAGTAATGTTTAAAGGCCGACATTGAGGACTTGACAGGGTTTCAAAGTCYGCGCAATTAGTTCCAATCCGAGGCGCAGCCGAGTACTGGAACTCATTGCAAGGACTTTAAAATCCCGTCAAATCCGAATTGGAGGCCTTTGAACGACTTCAAAAACTCATTAATTACTCGGGAGGGAAAAAAAGCAAAGGAAATACGACATATAACAGAAATATATTGATTTATTGCATCTCCACTAAGGTTTGCAGTTTTCATAATTTTGAATACATCAAGCACTGTTTGTTATTCAATTCCCGAATGGCTCATCTGAAACAAAGTCTATTCAAAATTGTCTTTGTTTGCTCTTCATTGCATTCCTATTGAGCCTAATCCATAAGTTTTATAAGTATGTTATCTTCCAAAGGAATCGCATCAGAAACACGGTGGTGTAATGGTAAAGACGGCATAGACTGGATGGTAAGGGATCGAGTTGTGAGGAATTAATGTATCAAAGACGTTTTTTAACTACTTTAAATTAATGTTAAATTGATTATTTCTAATAATTTAATTATCATTAACTAGTAGTAGCTGGAGACATGGTAGGAGTAACTGTAGAAGTGACTTTAAATAAGCTCAATAAAGTAACTGGAAATACAAGGTAGGAGTACTTCCTCTGGTTTCAAGTTACTGCACGTGGTACAAATTAGGTTTTGAAGCTTGTTTACATTTTTTTATAAGCTTGCTTCCATAGTGCATGTACATATTAAATCTTTGGATCATAATCTAAGTAAGTATAATTATAATATGTAAAAGGACTCAATGCTGTCGAACATAGAAATTGGATGAGGAAAATTCTGAGGATCAAAAGTTAATTGGGCTGTGTATAGAGTTCTATTACCTGCATGTAAATTAATCATATAC